TCAATCTGAAAATAATTGTATTCCATCCTATTAAGCCATCAGCTCTAAATTTAAAAAAGCTAAAATGTCATATTTGGTCTCATTGTTATATATTTTCTTTGAAAATAGGAATATGTTATTAAAGGACTTTGAAACACAAATTCTTTAACAAAAAAAGGAACTGGGAAAATCAATAATAAAAAATATTCGAATACTTGATACAAAAATCTTTCCATGCAAGTCAACTATGATAATGATAATTGAGACGCTTTTAAAATTAGTTATATGCAGACATAAGTACTTAAAATGTTTAAGCGTTACAGTGGCATGTCAGTAAATAGCTGTGCATTAACCTGAAATCCTTACATCCTTTAAGCTAATCCGCTAAGCTTTTATAGTTCTTTGGGAGTATTATTCACATAAATGACTCTAAAGATTAACCCGTCTGCCATTCTCACGCACTTCTGCTTCATGGACAATGGTGAACTTTAATGTTGTAAGACACAAGAAGGCAAGTCCAGGGCTGCATGTTCTAGAACCTCATATTACACACTAAAGAAGAGCTTACAAATATAATTCTAAGTTTTAAGATAAGCCTACAGTTGTTTCTTTAAAACCCGAGTCATGGTGTGAGTACCGGTAAGTATTTTCACTACGTCCACACTGATTGGATCAACCGTAATCTAGTCATTTTTTAATCTATTTTCAGTGGTTTCATAATTTTATTAGTTGATGCTTTTAAAAGGATTCAGATAGATCCAGGTTGATCTTTACCCTTGTTAATAACTTACCTTGTGACTCATAAAACATTGTAATGAAAAAAAGCACAGTGGAAACCCTAGTCATGGCGAAAAGAGCTTACTAAAACAAATAATTATTTATTTAGAGTAAGAACTTTTGCACGTTTACACAAAGATGTTTCTTGAGGTTTGTGAATAGGTTTGTACACATCTCCTTTTTCTCCTTTTCTAAAGAAGATCTCCAAACTTTCTCAATATCTCAGTCTGAAGCCTCTTTCCCACTGAAATTAGCGGGTTAATCAGTTTTTTTCAAATATGGGTCAACCTTCTAACAATCAGTGCTTTCTAACCGTCCCATTGGCTACAAAAACTAGGTCTAACACCCTGCTTGCAAGCTGCATGGCCTCTTTGCCCCCACTGTCGAGTTAGCATTGATGATGTCTCCAGTGCGACAGAAATCCGGAAAGTAAACAATGGAGAGCACCATGGAAGGAAGCCAGGGGGAAGTCAGAGTGCTTTATTTTTTCACTCTATTATCTGTTTGAATCCCTCTAAACCAGTGCTGCTCCATGTTTATGTATGATGTAAGCAGACTTGTTTGGCTTGTTAGACATGACTGTTGTGGTGTGTTGACATCCTTACGTTGCGCTCAGTGGTATCAGATAAATTAGAGATCCCAGATCTCTTGTTCCCCACTGTATGCCGATCAGACCAATCCAATTTGGTTGACACAGGTCAGTGAGCCGTTCCAACTGCCACTAAAAGCCGATTGTTCCCAGATTTAAACTGCTTTTTGGCAAGTGGAAAAGACATAACTGATTGACTTATAGCCATTTTCTTTCAAAATTAAGGTGCTTTTGGTTTCTTTATGCTCTGTAATACTGTATATGCAGTATTATTTCATATTCTGCTGTAGTTCTATATCCAAAAAAACACTTTGCTTTAAGGTTCTGGTTCAAAAACAAGTCATTCTCTTTAGGTTGCCTTTCTCTTTATTATTTAGCATTTTTAAGATGTCCTAGTGGTCACTTTGATCTACCTGCTAAACTAAGACATGGACAATATTTAGTACACCCAGTGTTGTTGTTCAGTGATAGGATAGGGAAATGATAGAATAGGGAAGGGCTGCTGTTTCCATGTTTTGTCATTAAATTCCTCTTATTGCATGCCTGGGGCTATGGATTCCTGTACTTTGATTAAATTCCTCATACTCAGCACTATTATTCAATAATTTTCAGCTTTGTGGCTCTTATGTTTAGTTTTTCTAAACTTACTGCGTAGAATGTTCAGGGCTTGGGTCATGAAATTAAAAAGGAGGAGATTTGGATGTATTTGAAAAAACAAATGATACAACCTTACTTTAGGAAACTATGTAATTTGACACAGCACACACTTAATACTTAGGAGGTTACCTTCCAAGCGAGATTAATTCTTGTGAGATGTTTTAGTTTACAACATTCCCAAAATACTTCTTGCTATAAACCAAATTGGCCTCAATAATGAAATGCTTCTAAAACATATCGGACCAATGAAATGCAGTGACGTCTAATACGTCAAGGCGTCAACCAGAGGCGGAAGGCTTCAGCAAAACAAACATGGCTGTGCCAATTTAAGCTGGAATATCTTCTATTTCTTTTTGGGAAATGAGCAAAAGGAAGTGATTTGTGCCTCTTATGATTTGTGATTTGTTTTTTTCATTCTATTCAATTTTTGTTTCACCCATGCTATTTACTTTTCTGTCCCCTTTCATCCTGTTGATTTTGTTTGTATGCATGGACATATGTTTATACTTGTTGGAGATCTATGTATTGCTGTGGTCCTGTAGGTTTAGGGTCTCCTTTTGTTGTATGTTTTACTGTAAGTTTTGTTTTTCCAATCTCTCTACTCTTATGACTGAAAAAACTATTAAAAATGATATTAAAACTTGGGGGGACACCTTCTCCGAAGCCAATAATCTTTCAAGATCCCCTTCATTTAGCTCCTGGCCTAGCTTCTATCTCCCGCATGCAAGCGAACTTTCACCCTCCACCCCATCTCCTCCCTCATTCTCAGTCCCACTCACCCTCTGGCTTATTTCACCACCAGTGTCTGGGCCCTGGGGGAGAAGACTTCCCTAATCCTTTTCTAGGTTACTCATCCAAGCGTATCTTGATACACAGCATCGGAGTCTTCTGCCGGGGCCCGTGCGCCAAAGAACTAATTTCGTTTATGTCTTTATCTGCTTCTGTCTCCTTGAACCCTAGTCAGCCTCAGCAGATGGCTGCTCACACCGAGCCTGGTTCTACTGGAGGTTGATTCCTGTTAAAAGGGAGTTTTCCCCTCCACTATCGCCACTTGCATGCTCAGGGCAAGTGATTCAATGAGTCCTCGCTATCAGCTTTTTTTTTTTGCTTAGATAGAAATATTTTGAAGAATATGATTGTGTTACATGTATTAATAAATTGAATATTTTCTAGTTGCAGCTTTTCTCTTTGTAGGTTGATGGCAGGGTGAATTACAAAACTGTGTATTTGAAAACTTTTTTTAATCATATTGCCCTTATTGTATTTCTGGGTGCAATTTCCCCCCACCCCATATCGTAATCAACGTGTTTAACCCTGCCTGACTGACATCATTTGAAACATCTCTTGTTTCAGTTTATTGAAAGCTACCTATAGAGTCAGATTACTGTTTTGTCTGCTGTGGTGGCCTTGCTGGAGGGCTGCAACCTGAGAATGGTTGCAAAAACCTGTTTTTTATTGTTGATTTTTTTTTTTTTGACACTTTACATTCACCATCACTGTGTGTTGTAGGGTTTCCCATATTAGACTTCTCATTTGTTGCATGTGATTGAAATTCCTCCAATACATTTTTACACAGAATCACAGAGCCAGAAATATTACTGGAAAAAAAACAAAATGACCGGATGTTCGCTGATAAAGTATTACCCTTATGCACAGTTACAGTACTTATTCAAAATAGCAGAACTTACATCAATCTCCAAATCAATATTTTACTCCAGCAAACACAATATAATATATCCTAATGCAAATACAGTCATTAGACAGTAAAAGTAAAGCATGACATTACAAAAATTACAAAAGTAAAGATATTTATGTTAGGGACAAACTCAAGGTAGTACAGAATTGAGAAGTGAAAAAAACAATAGTTTTAACATTTTTTAAGAATAAAGTGTTGTGTTTACTTGCTTTTTCACTATTTCCAGATGTCTGGGTCTGTGACCTGTTCCAAAATAAGTGCAAGACCATGGACCGTGGCAAAATGTAAAAAAAAGTTCAGAAAATATGAATTCTCATGTGAGGCACTTGACATTAAGATGAACTTTCTAAATGCAAATATGCCCCAGATATATTTTTTCCCTCTCTGCCTCTGGTAGCTTTCACACAAACTCACTCAGTGACCTACAGCCTTGACTCCGCTGTCTCTTCTGTCAGCCTTTATGGTGTGTATACATGTAGAGACAACTGTTTCTGTAATACCTTTAACAAGTTTGTCTTTAATTCAACAGAAGTGCATGTTGCCCCAGGGTCACCTAAACAGGAGTGAAGCTGTCAAACCTATGCCCCAAGAGATGCAAACAAGAACTCAATGATAACAGCCCAGATCTCTGAGCACTTGGCATATATAAGTAATGGGTTCTGTAATGTATGATTAACCAAAGGCTCAAGACTGTATTCAGATTTAATCATAGCTCATCCTGCAGTGCATCCAATAGTTCAGTGCGCTTTAATTCCACCTCAAAACGCTAAATTATAGAGCTCATTCTTCCATGTTGAGACCAAGGATAGAGTTTGTTCTACTGTGTAGGAGTCAGTGGAGCAGAAATGGTTTTAACTACAACAAATGAGAAATAATAGGAAGCAGGAGACATACATGAATATGCTTACATTGCAGGAGACTAAATAGCCTAACATGCGTTTTGTACCTTGAACCAACACATGAATAACTTGAAGACTCAATGCAAAAAGACCTCAGGACCCTCTTGCTGCAAGGGAACAGTGCTAAAAATTGTGTCTTTGTTTTTCTTCCGTTTCAATATTATGCACTACTTTACGTTGGTCACATAAAATCACAATAAAACATATAATTTTGCAGTGGGAGTGTAATAAAGGCATAAATAATTTTGCACGGTAGTAAAATAAAGTCATTAAGATGGAATGACTAATAAAAGATAAAAGTGGTTATGATGTCTTCTGTCTTTTCTTTGTGGTTAGTCACTCGGCATGCTAAAAGACAGCTTGAAATCTTCCGTTCAAAACAATTTTCTTGTTTCTGTTTCAGCTGAGCCTGCATCCACAAAGGAGAACAACTGTCTGAGTGCTGCCAAAGCCTGTAACCTGAACGACACATGTAAGAAATATCGCTCTGCTTACATCAACCCCTGCACAAGCAGGGTGTCTGCTTCGGAGGTCTGCAACAAGCGCAAGTGCCACAAGGCTCTAAGACAGTTCTTTGACAAGGTAATTAAGCACTTAAGCACTTTCATTATCTTGCTCTCTAATGTTTGAGGCTCAACCTAATATTTAAGGAAATTTAAAAAGAAAAAGGCTTTTATCAGGATTTTGTATTGTGTTCACTTTTATTGCAATGTCTTTATAAATGTCTCAGCTGAGAAAATAATGAAACTGCTGTAATTCATCACTAAAAACCACTTATTAATATTAAGGCTTTTATCTTTTCGTTTGTCCAAAAATGAAGGTTCCAACTAAATACAGCTATGGGATGCTGTTTTGCTCCTGCCCAACGGGAGATCAGACGGCATGTGCTGAACGCAGAAGACAAACTATTGTACCGATCTGCTCTTATGAGGATAAGGACAAGCCCAACTGTCTTTCTCTGCAGAACGCATGCAAGACCAACTACATCTGCAGGTAGAACAGCCGTCCAAAACAGTTCCACATTATGACAGAATCTTCTCCATTTCCGAAATCACATACGCCTTGCTGGTTGTGGCTCCTTTGACCTTTCAAAATGCCTTTAGTCTCCTTGGCATCGGTTCAACATTTGCAGATGAAAACATCCTGGAAATGTTAAAGTATATTAAAAGCTAGGAACTAATGCTTAATGCAGTTCTGTCAGTTAAACATTCATGGCATTAATTCCACTGTGCAAAGCTTCTCTGTTGGAGATGTGAAATAGTGACTGTGAAAGTCAAGTGCAGTGGACCCATGTTTAAGGAAACAGTCTTTAAGAAAAGAGAGCATTGAGTGAATCGGTGAACTGTGGTTATAAAGTGAAGGACTTGATGCATGTAGGCTGTGGCTTTATGATTGTCATCCTCTGCTTAAAGTGCGTCAAGAAAATATCCCCCATACCAGGTATCCCATCACCACCAGCCTGAACCAGTAGGACAAACCAGGATGTTTTTATGTTCTTAAATCAAATTTTCACCCTCGCCTTTAAACATTACCTTCAAAAATCTAGACTCATCAGACCAAGGAATGTTTTTGCTATCTGGATTGGGAGCAGACCAGGACATCCAACACTAACAAACTGGTTACATTACTAATTCTAGGGCTTTATTTGAACTGTTGTAAATCCCTAAAAGCTACAAGGTTCTGCTAAATTATTGGCAGGTAAACACGTGTAGCTAATTAAGTTCAATAACATAACTTATAGCATGTCATATTTCATGCAACTGCAGGTGCTGATAGCATAATAAGATTTCCTGGACTCTGTTTGACGTCTGTGATGAGATTTAGTAACTAAATAACAGAAGAACCGTACAGGACAAAGGAGCAAATTAGAACTACAGGAATTCTGCTTTTTTTCTATGGGGTCCTTTTAAATCTACATATAAACCTTTTTACCTTACAGAGAGTCTTTTGAACTGAAAGTATATTTAGAAATCTGAACTCAAACTTTTCTCACCTGTATACAGTTGGCCCAAAATATTTTATTTTGAAATCAGTTGTGCTTTGCAAAACCCAAAAGTTGTGTCTGATAGTAAATGAGACCTGTATATCTTAAAAACCAATAACAATATAAAGCGAACATTAATTCAGAAGAGAAACTGTGTTAATCACAGTTAATTGATTTTTTCCTAAAAGCCATTTGAATTATTTTCAGTGGTATTATACCAATTAAAAAACTATTTTTGGTTACTTAAAAGCATTCTGTATGTTTTAACTGGTGTTATGAAAATGGATCTTTTCTAATGAGTTCAAAGTCTCTGAAGTTGAATCTGATCTTTTATCAGCTTCAAATCAGAACTTTAGCCAAACAAATAGGCATAGTCAGAAAATAAACAAATTGATCAAACTTAGAGATTAACTTTAGAGATTAACTTTAAACCAAATTCTGCCAGGTGAATGAATAAGTTTCCACTTATATAAAACAGAAAAAAGGAAATTTAATTCATTTGTTTTTTTCTAAACACTTGTTTGATTTGACAACTAAATAATTTTTTTCTTTGTATTTCATTTCATCAATGTTTTAAATATGTGTTTTCTTCTTGCCTTTTTGCTTTCAATACTAGTCATGAATAATATTTCACAAACAACTTCACAAAAAAAGCTTTTTTTCCCCTCTTTTTTTATAGAAAAACATTAAATAGCAAGGCTTAACAGGGGTAATTTTAAAACTATGACTTTTTTTCCTTGAAAATTTCACTAAATTATCTGCCATTTGACTTCTCAATCATCATCCAGATGGGGAAAGGGTTAGATTTTTCCGTTTTAAAAAATAACAATAAATTGAGTGCCACTAGCTATTTTCATTTTAAACTTAGAAACCTGCAAAAAAAAAAGAAGAAAAAAAAGCTATGTCTGCACTAGTGCAATCTAAAATAAAAAGATCCATTGTTGGTACTGGCAGCGCCAGAGTAGAGATAGAACCTAATTTGGTTTTCTTTGTGAATATATATTCAGAGAAAGACTTTAACAGAATGTTAACTTAAACTATATAAGTTGTTGTAGAAACTCATGGGAAAATCTGCTAAACATTGCAATCTTCCCTGTCCATGGGGCCTTGTAGCTCCTCTCAGGATTAGCTGCAGCATGATATAAATCACAATCAATGTATTACTCTGAGAATTTTAGTTGTTTAAAAACTTCATTAAAATCTATACATATATCTGTAAAAATGCACATACATCCCAAAATAAAACATAAAGTTTTGAATGCTTTCTAACTGCCACTTTTATTAATCATCCCAATTGAACACAGTATACACAACTTATTAAGATATTCATGACATCCAACTAACTAGTTTTAAAATAGAAAAAACAATCACTGTATCACTGTTTCCTCTATTTTCAAAGATATTCTCAAATAAGGGCAGATATTTTCCTCAGTATATGCATGATGTGAATCTGAGCATTTTTCTAAGGGAGAGAGATTTGCACTAAAGAACTGTTCCGGGAGCAGATTTTTATTTTAAAGCGATTTCCAAACTCCGACGCACACGGTGCTTTGCACAGGAAGGATCCATCAAAAGAAATCACATGTCATGTATCTCCACTGCTGATAGATCAAGGCTGGCAGACTTCCTCAGCAACTGTCAACCTGAAGTTCGTTCCATATCTGGCTGTCTACGAGAAAACTACGCCGACTGCCTGCTCTCTTATTCAGGCCTTATTGGTAAGTAATAAAAAAACAGAACTCGTTATTTTCCATTAAATACCTGTATTCTTAGATAACATTATAAATGTAGAAAGAACCTGTTGTTCAAAAGATGTGCAACCTTTTTTCTTGGAGGATCCTAATCTCACATATAAAGCATTATGGAATAAGATGTGATTTTGGTGCAAATCTTAGCAAAAAATAAAACCTTTGTTCAAAAAAATATTTTTCCTAGGAAATTATACATATACCACAACGACTGCCTCTGCTGTCAATTTCTGAGTCTTAGCTATTTTTCTCTTCTCTTTAGCTCACCCTCTTGTTCTGAGTACTTTAAGAAATTTCCATGATTATCCATCAAATTTTGAAATAGCCAGAAACTACTTTCTTGAACACTTTATTTGCCTCATATTAGACCCACCTGGAGTTGACACAAAAAAGCTCCATTTTAGTATTATCTGACTTAAGCGCCCAATTTCTAGTCAAGGTACCATCAGAATTAATCACACGTTATGTCAGTGATGCTAAAAAAGATAAGTTGTTTTCTAACCGGCATTGAAATATTTACTGTCATTTTAAAGCACCCCTGGAGATTCTCCTTTTTTACTCTCCGCAGGGGCAACAGCAAAATATCCTGGTGTCTTCATGCATCATTGTTTGTTAACATTTCACTGATTTTTCTATGTAATTCTCTAACTAAATAAGCAAGTTTTGCTCAGCAGATTTCTCTTACCGATTTCCTGACCTGTAAAAGTCAACACTCATATATCTCACACAAATGGCATGTTTTTTTTTATTTTACATGTTTTGAAGAGTGGCTTGGACAGGTTTTGCCTGCATTGTACACATCTTTTACAAGTGTTGGCAAAAACTGAGATAATTAATATTTTATACTTCAGGTTTTGCAGAAGTTGAAAACACCCAAAATTTTGCTAACTAAACATTAGTTACATGATATATTTCCTTTAAATGCCTTTTGTTAAATTGCTCACTTATTCTCTTATACATGCATATGAAATTCCTTGGGAAGCTATTCAATTTAGCCCCTGTGTATTCTGCAGAGCAAAGGTTAATCTGGCTGATCGGCCATGAAGGCAAACATCTTATATTACAGCAAAACTGCAGCGTGAACATTTCACTCCAGCTCATTGTGCAATAAAAGATTGTGTTCCAGTCTTCCTTCCATCGGGGGGTTTCATTATGCAGGAAGGAAAATGACATCCAACAGAGTTTTTGAAATGAGATTTGAACACATTGCAAAGAAGGCCAGTTGCAGTCTCAATATTTTAAGCTATGCCACAGATACCAGGCTTTGCACTGTGTATTCCCTCTTATGCTCCTACCTCACAAGTTCCCAACAGTACACTACAGAATCTGCTTATAGTAGCAAAAATCAAACCTATTCAACCTTAAATGTCCTTCAAAGATGCAGATATTATTCTTTTCTTCATCATACAGCTTATTTAGGAGTTGTGGAATTTATTTACACTTTGCATGTTCCATATAAGTTGTAAATGGAGAAAAAGTTCCTTATAGCACATATTACTGTAAGCCTACACTCACTGGCTGACCTGAACATTTTAATAGCCAAAAAAAAAAAGAAATCCTGCTAAACCACAAGTGACCTAATGGGCTTAAACCAGAGTAGCAGCAATTAACAGGGGTCCTATTCTCTTTAATGCTGCAGGTACAGTGATGACACCCAATTATGTGCGGTCTTCGGGCATTAGCCTGTCGCCATGGTGCGACTGCAGCAGCAGTGGGAACAGCAAGCAAGACTGTGATAAATTTTCGGAGTTTTTCACCAACAATCGATGCCTCCGTGAGTTGCAATACATTGTTACAGGTTGAACTGAGGTACAAAAACTTTTTTCATGTAGTCTGTTGGGATCTTATGTGATAGACTGACGCAACAATGAAAGATTGTAAAGTGTTGTTTTCATTTTATTTTTTAACCCTATAATGCCAAATGTATCGTATTTTGATACATACGGTTTATGAAATGTTTAGTATCTGACACCTTTTGCATAATTTAATGGTAAAAACTTTGCTTAAAATCCTATTGTACACAATCAGATATACCTGATAACAGCCAGTAGAAGACTACACAAAAAATTATCTTGACTTATCGCATAATAATAAATTATTAATATAAAAAATGTATTTCTTTTTTTTCTTTTTACATATTTTGTTAAAAGGGCAAATAAGGAATTCAAACCAAAAAAAGTAATTTTCTGTTTTGTTTTATTCTTGGATCAGGCTTTAAAGGGTTAAGTTAAGTCTGAAAAGTGCATTAATTTGTTTTTAGAAAAAAAAACAACCAGTTCTCAAAATTAAAAACGTGTGACAACTAGGTTATGAGGGTCATTGTAGGTCAGACTTGAGTTTCTAGCGATGGTTTTTGGTGTTGCTTTACATCATGCTTTTCTCATATCTAAAAATTACTTTGGACAACTTCACAAAAAGCGTTCACCTGCCACTAACCTCATCAAGTAACACACACACACAAATATTTGACCCAAACCTTAAGATTTATGTCATTTTATTGCATAACTAATTCAATTTGGAGAGACTCACACAGAGAAAAGCTGCAAATATTTAAATTTATTTATACAGGTTACACCTGATTTCTATCTAAGGAAATCCAGCTGATTGTGAGGATACATTGACTCTCCGAAGGGGGCCTGGACACTGGTGGTGGAATAAGCCAGAGGGAGAGTGGGATTGAGAATAATCTGAGAATGATGGAGGAGATGGGGATATTGAAAGATGATTAGCTTCGGAAAAGATGCAGCCCCCGAGTTGATTGGCTGGAACTGAAGGAGGAACATCGCAGGTGGTTCAGGTGAAGCTTATAAAAGCCTTCCATATTGAATTTTCACTTAAAGGAGTAGTACACCCAAAACATGATTATCCTTCATTTTCTACTCACCCCCATGCTGAACAACACTCTGGAGTACTTTTTTGATATCTCAAATGCATCTGGAGATCTGGGAGGCTTCTTGCTGTCTGCTGACATTCAAATAATGGAGGTCTATGGTGACCGAGACAGAAAGGTCCATAAAAGTCCACAAAAAACGTGTCAATATTCCTCCATACTGCTCGTCCAATGTAATCCAAGTGTCCTGAGTGGGTAGCGTCCATAATTTACTTGAAACGAAGTCATTTAGAATGTTTTAGAGCCTAAACAGTAGTGTATAGGATTTCCTAAAAACGCGCGCCTGCGAGTTCACGACTCTACGGAAACCGCGGCAGACCAAACCAGATGAAAGTGCGCATTCAGCGTCTGCTTTCTCGGCAAAGAACTCATGCTCTTCCTCAACACTGAAGTCCTCAGACATTTTTCTTTCGTTGTTTCTTTCTTTGCACAGGTAAACAGCACATTTCTTCTTCTACGCTTGCATTATCGGCAGAGCAGATAATGCTTCATACTTGTACACTTCCCTCATGACTGGATTATTTCATTTAGTGTCCATGCAAATAGAGAGTTTTAATGTTCGATCAACCAACATTTAGATCAAATCAGGGAAAACCTAAACTTAGCTTCTGAATGCAGCTCAGCTTTCTTTTCATTGAGGCAAAGTGCCTGTTAATTTTTTTTAACTTCTTTTCTACCCGAATCCAGTCAAATGTGGGACATTTTGTCAATTTGTGGAACAGCAGGAAAGAAGTGAAAATATTTTGCAATCCCAGACAAATCGAGTAATCTGGTAAACCCTAGGCAGAAAACTACACACAACATTCCCAGGTTGAAACACGACAATGGCAGGATTATGCTGTGGGGACACTCTTTAGAACTGATGTGAAGAAGGATAAAGCTACAGTACGTTTCAAAATGGCGATCAAGATTAGCATTAGAGGAGTTAGAATAACTTTGTTGAATGAAAGATGGGCAAAGCTGATAAAGACATCATTTAAAAAGTATGTCTAGTATTGACAATTTTTATCATTTAAAACACTTTGAAAATAATGCATCGCATCCACTTCACAATTATGCTCTATTTTATGTTGGTCCATAACATCAGATCCTAACAGAGTACTTTAAAAGGCATGTATGTTAATGTAAAAGAGGTGTAATTACCTAGTTGTAAGTTTTTGTTGGCAGCTTTTATTTTTTCAGATTCATTGACTTTTTAAATGGACAACTAGATATTGTCTGAGCAACTATACATGACCCATATTTTGCCAAACATCCGTGGTGTCTTCTGTTTATTCCATTTAGGAAATCAATCTGATCAATTCTTTGTTCCTGTTTAGGCAATGCTATTCAGGCGTTTGGTAATGGTACTGATGTTGGAGTGTGGCAACCTCAACCCCCCATTCAACCGACTATAGAGACAAGCATCACTCGCAGGGGTAAAGGTTGGACAAACAGTGTTTTGGACGAGCTGAAAGATGTGAATCACCTGGGTGCCAATAGTGACTCATACCACATCTGTGGAACCTTGCAGGTGAGATTTGATGAGTCCTCTGACATCTAGCGTTTTGTTTTTCTTATTTTACTATCACGTTTTTGGCATAATAGTTTAAACTAAGATTAAGATTAAAAAAACTTTTTACTGAAAACAGAAAAAGTCAAGTTGCTTATTTACCCAGGCTATATACTTTGTGTTTTGTGTAAACCTTTAAAAGTTTGAAAAGAAAATGTCTCGCCCTAACTTCCGACCTTAGGAGGTCACTGAGAAAACCATTCAGAGCTTCAGTGTGATTGTCAGATGTCTGAATCTGTCACTGTGATAGATCAGGGAGGGTTTTATGACGGCATGCGCAGAATCCCCCCTCCTGGGCAGAAAGTGGATATGTCAATGTGGAGTCACATTTTCTGAAGCTGTCATGTCAAAGCTAATTGGATGCCTCAGTAACCTCAGAAATGGCCTAAAGGTTCAGTCTGTTTGTGACAATGTTAGTTTGCAAGCAGGAATAGAAGCCACAGAATTTTTCCCACAATAATAGAAGGTTGATGGTTGACTTCTCTCTTATTGGGTTCTTTGCATGTTTCATTTCAAAGATCCTTAAATTTGCAAACTTTAACTTTCTGAATTCTCAGTAGCAATTAAACACAAGTACATATACTAAAGCTTATTATGAATTACCACAGACTTTAGTAAAAGTGGTCATGATTTTATTATGGAAATTCAAACCAGATCTGTTTGCATGAATAAATACTGTAACAAACAGATCTATTTCAGAAAGAAGCCTGGATGTGATGTTATGCTGATATCTGCCAACCCCTCACTGTAATTAAAGAGACATTGTGTACAATTTTACTGAAAATTTTCTTTAAAATAGCCTTTTATTCGACTCTTTAGGACTAAAACATGATTTGATGAGCAGACTGACACCTCAGTAGTTCAACGCCGATGAATCTATAAGCCTGTAGCCTATTTTTACTTTGGGTTGGAAGTTCCCACGCTGTTTGTAAGGTGTGATGTCATGCGTGTCCATGTTAAATGGCTCCTTGAAAAAACAATCAAAGCATTATATTCAAGATGGATTTTGTTGATACTCAAAAGCGACCGGTATCCAGCTCAACTCAGACACCTATGGCACTTCCACATAAGTTAAAAAAAACAAACAAAAAAGAAACACCCCTGTCAAGTATCGGCATGTGCTACGAGAACGAGCAGAAGAGTGCTGCAGTTCTATGTTTTGGCCAGAGGTGGCAGTATCATTAGAAAACTCTGCAATGCCTCTTTAAATCACATTTGCTTCTATGTTTTCTTTTGTTTAGTTCTGCAACAGTAAATGACAGGAAGTAAACAGAAGCTAAAGAACTTCACACCAGAGAAATGTAAGAATGACTAATGATAGGCAGATCCTTGAACGCTAACATTCTTGCTAGAAGTGCGAGAGATCAAAGAACACCAATCAATGCCGTAACGACACAACAATAGGCCACTAAGCAACGTTATCTGGGTGGGCCCCAAATGAAGTACAACGCCACACCCCCCCCCCAAATGGCATACGACACAACAATAGCCCCTAAGCAACATTATCTGGGTGGGCCCCATACGAAGTACAACACCCCCTCCAGCCACCGTCTAATGAATTATACACAGTTATTAATGTAGTAATTAAAAGTACCACTGTCTGCTTTGCTATTGGTGTCGTGTTTAAACGGCTCACCATTGTGTTGAAATTTGCCATATCTTGGGGTATAAATAAGGTCCGATCAGACAGACTAGCATCAGGTGGGTAAAACAGGAATTTTTCGCACCGTTACATCTGCAAAGACACATCCTAGTCTGCAATTGCGTAGGGGGCCTACCAGAAGTCAGTGACGGGGCCCCTAAGAGGCTGGGGGCCCCTAAGCAATTGCAGTCTCTGCTTACCGATATTTACGCCATCGACACCAATGCTTATATAATTAGTTGTTTTAACTTTATAACATTTTCTTTTTGAGTTGGGATTGCCTACTTTGAAGGTGCAGAAGTCATTCACTGTACTGCTATTTAATTAGCATTTAACTGAATAGAAAGCATTATTTTATTTTGTGCTATTTTATAAGTAGAGAAGATACCTCCTAGTTTTGGACTTACTCAAATTTGTTAAATATTTGCCCCGTAGGGTAACGTGCAGTTAAAAGATAAAGAAAAATAGTAACTTGTAACCATTTTTTTGTCTTTGTGTTCAGTGAGTGGTCTTATTATTAAAGCTGGGAGATAAAATTTAGCTCTTTTGTTGTTGTTTTATTTACTAAAACCATGACCCAAATCAGACGTCTTGTTAATTAAATTCAATTCAGTTTATTTCTATAGCGCCAATTCACAACACATGTCATCTGAAGGCACTTTACAGTTCACCAGATCATACACTTAAATTGATTCAAAGTTTTCTATTTAAGGAAAACCAGTTTATTGCATTGACTCATTGACTCGGATTCAATCCCTCACACTAAGCATGCATTGTAGCGACAGTGGAGAGGAAAAACTCTCTTTTAACAGGAAGAAACCTCCAGCAGAACCAGGCTCAGTGTGAACGGCCATCTTGTTAGTGTACAGTATACACCTAAAAACTGAGTTGTACTTTTCATATTATTACAATTATTTCTGTGGCATTACCACGTCATTTCAGCTGGTAGATTATTTCAGGGTTTAAACTACATAACTAAAGCCTAAAAGGGTTTATTGCAATTCATATATTGTAATTTTTCCTCAAACCAAACACATTTAGTCAAACACCAATGGAAAATTTGAATATCAGTTTGCAGCCACAGTTAAACCACTTAAAGGTGATAGTAATTTTCTATTGCCCAAATAGGACTGATTCAAACACACTTTAAAATTTCTCTGTGCAGTGCTGTTATTACCGATGAAGTACAGCTTTTACACCAAGACACAATGGATCTTGTAAGCTTATATATACCTCTTCTAATGCCAGGATTTTATTATATAGAAAAGAGAGATCAGAATAAATCAATTCAAGCTGCAGTGATTTAAAATATTTCAGTCAGATAACATTTTATGAGGCTAAACTACACTTTATGTTAAGATGCTTTTTTTATTTGTTTTATTAAGAACCATCTAAGTAACTGTCAGCTGTGATCCAAAATAAAAAAAATAAAAATTTGGAGGGGCCTAATATTTAATGCTAGAGTTCCTCCTGGGCTGTCGGCAGGTTGTCATCTGCCTCTGATAGACGTGGTGAACCTTTGCAAGATTGAATGGGTAATTATTACCGGTTCAAGGTGCCTGATGCTGATAGATTCCTCCCAAAGAAGACTGAAGGCTGATATTGAGTGAAAAGATCAAAGTGAAGGATTGGAAAGATTATTGCACTTTCTTCTCTTCCGACAAATTCTAATGAGAAATCTTGGGGGGGAAAAAGGTGAAAAAGTTTAAAAATGAGTTTTAATGGTCTAAAATTTATTTGGCAATCGTAAATTGGATTTAAACTGAAGCATAAACACTTTCGAGATGCATTGCATCAACTAGTTTCTGTGGCAATATCATTTTATTTGTGACTTGTGTTAAACTGCTTATAATCCACTTCCGCCCCTTTGGAGAGAATTTGGCCCCCCCATCAACAAACTCCTGATATCTGCAATTTTCTTCTGATAAATACTTTGGGGCTTTATATTTCTTATAAATGAGATCATATCACAGAGCCTCCTTTAACCGAAACAATCTATCACATTGGCTTTTAATAGCGATAATATGATTTATCACCAGTAAAACATCCTTTAGGAAGAAAGACCTCCAATGGAGCAATTTATCATTCTTCTCTATAACCCTGGTTTGTAGGATTCTCTCTGCTTAAAAATCACAGCATGTTTATTTTGTTTCCAAACATCACAGATCCCCTTATCATTTTCTGCACCAAAACACTGTATCTTTGTGGTTTATTATACTTTATCTATTTGTATGTGTAAATGCATTTTTTTTTAATCTTAGGAAACAAATTTGAGTAAGTTTTAATATGTAACCTTGAGCTACAGTATAGCATGAACAGTCAGGGGGAAATGAACCAATAGATTACACCAGAAGTTTTTAAGGGGATAAAACGGTCTTTGGTTGTGTGGAGGTTTGAAGAGGACCCAAATACAGAAGTGGAAGCTGAAGGGGTTTCTTGTACAGGTGCTGGTCATAAAATTAGAATATCATGAAAAAGTAGATTGATTTCAGTAATTCCATTTAAAAAGTGAAACTTGTATATTATATTCATACATTACATACAAACTCATATATTTCAGATGTTTATTTCGTTTAATTTTGATGATTACAAATGACAACAAATGAAAATCTCAAATTCATCATATCAGAAAATTAGAATATTGTGAAAAGGTTCAAAATTGATGGCCCCTGGTGCCACACTCTAATCAGCTAATTAACTCAAACCACCTGCAAAAGCCTTTAAATGGTCTTTCAGTCTAGTTCTATAGGCTACACAATCATGGGGAAGACTGCTGACTTGACAGTTGTCCAAAAGACGACCATCGACACCTTGCACAAGGAGGGCAAGACACAAAAGGTCATCGCTAAAGAGGCTGGCTGTTCACAGAGCTCAGTGTCCAAGCACATTAATAGAGAGGCGAAGGGAAGGAAAAGATGTGGTCGAAAAAAGTGTACAAGCAAGAGAGATAACCGCACCCTGGAGAGGATTGTGAAACAAAACCCCTTCAAAAATGTGGGGGAGATTCACAAAGAGTGGACTGCAGCTGGAGTGAGTGCTTCAAGAACCACCACACACAGACGTATGAAAGACATGGGTTTCTGCTGTCGCATTCCTTGTGTCAAGCCACTCTTGAACCACAGACAGCGTCAGAAGCGTCTTGCCTGGGCTAAAGAGAAACAGGACTGGACTGCTGGTGAGTGGTCCAAAGTCATGTTCTCTGATGAAAGTAAATTTTGCATTTCCTTTGGAAATCAAGGTCCCAGAGTCTGGAGGAAAAGAAGAGAGGCACTTCATCCACGTTGCTTGAAGTCCAGTGTAAAGTTTCCACAGTCAGTGATGGTTTGGGGTGCCATGTCATCTGCTGGTGTTGGTCCATTGTGTTTTCTGAGGTCCAGGGTCAACGCAGCCACATACCAGGAAGTTTTAGAGCACTTCATGCTTCCTGCAGCTGACCAACTTTTTGGAGATGCAGATTTCATTTTCCAACAGGACTTGGCACCTGCACACAGTGCCAAAGCTACCAGTACCTGGTTGAAGGACCATGGTATCCCTGTTCTTAATTGGCCAGCAAACTCTCCTGACCTTAACCCCATAGAAAATCTATGGGGTATTGTGAAGAAGAAGATGCAATACACCAGACCCAACAATTCAGAAGAGCTAAAAGCCACTATTAGAGCAACCTGGGCTATCATAACACCTGAGCAGTGCCACAGACTGATCGACTCCATGCCACGCCGCATTGCTGCAGTAATACAGGCCAAAGGAGGCCCAACTAAATACTGAGTGCTGTACATGCTCATACTTTTCATGTTCATACTTTTCAGTTGGCAAACATTTCTATAAATCCTTTGTTTTTATTGGTCTTCAGTAATATTCTAATTTTCTGATATGATGAATTTGAGATTTTCATTTGTTGTCATTTGTAATCATCAAAATTAAACAAAATAAACATCTGAAATATATGAGTTTGTATGTAATGTATGAATATAATATACAAGTTTCACTTTTTAAATGGAATTACTGAAATCAATCTACTTTTTCATGATATTCTAATTTTATGACCAGCACCTGTAGATTTATTAATCCAAAAGGTGGCAACTGAGGCAAAAATCCAAAGATGACAAAATACAGAAAGACAAAATCCAGGAGACATTAGGGAAAACACATGAGGGGCAAAGAAACGACGAGGAACCAGCAAACACTACATGAAGAGGAGGGTTTATATGGCAGACAGAACAAAGGCTGGGGTAATCAACTGATTGGGAGCAGGTGTGGACAGAAGAAGCTAGAAGGAGACTGACACTAAAGGGGGGACAGAGGGTGAACAAGAAATACAGTACATAGAACTCAAACACAACCAGAAAACATCACAAAATTGAAAAGAAACATATAACAACTCAAAAAGAAAACCCAAGCAGAACTAAAAAGTGCACATAACCAACTTTTTTTTATTTCTCTTATTCAGACAGAAGAAAACCTAATAAAAGAAGATCAAATAAACTAATACAATGTCTTTCTTCTTCCTTTCTTCTTTTTCTGTCCAAAGGTTCAAAATCTGGTCTCAAATCAAACAGCCAATGCAGCTTTTTGTCCGGTAAGGCTTGTTCTATTAAGTACTTTAAAGTTTTGTTCTTCCTATAAAACAAAAAATATTTTGGTCCTCGGTTTTCTAAAAAATTCTAGAGTTTACCTGTAAAGATATAGTTGCTGTCTGACATCCTACATTTAGAGTTTAATTCGCTCCTTCCCAAGTTGTCTTTAAAAAAACATGACGTACCTTGAATTATTTATTTTTTTTTTTATCATAGACTGACACAAAGTAATGCATTGATTCAAATCAGAAGGAAAATGTTATTTGTTTTTTTATAGGTTAAAAATCTGAAATGTGTGGCATGCATTTGTATTCATACCATCTAAATAAATGCTTCCTTAAAACAAACTTTCGCTGCTGTTTCAGCTACAAGTATGTTAGTCTTGATTAAGGTTAGTTTCCCTGGCTTATAAAAGTTGGCCAGCCAGACTCACTTACACGGGGTGTAATGGTGTGCTCACACTTGACTCTATGGCTACGTTCACACTGCAGACCTTAATGCTCAATTCCGATTTTTTTGGTGAAATCCGATTTTTTTGCTGTTCTTACATCATACAATACAATGCATTCATACAACCTAAGTGCCCCGCATGCGCAGTACAGGATGCAATGACGTCACAATCAAGCGTTCTCTGTGTTTACGGAAGTAAACCTGGATAGTGGTGCTGGAGAACATCTAGAAATCTGTTCAGACTGTCATGTAAAGATCAGATAAAGGTCGCATATAGGCAAAAAAAAAAATGGGATTTGGGTCCTTCCGGCTGCGGTGTGAACGTGGCCCTAGAGGTGTCTCTGAGGGCACCATAAGTAACACCTGTGAGTACAATCATTGGCTCATTATGCTTGACGCACAGACATTCCACACGGAAAATTAGCTGCCTGTCACAGCATCTGGAGCATTTATACTCGGGTTTCCCTCGGTTCTGGGCGGGCATGTTCAGCACAAGGTGTAAGCAGACACCATCACACTACATGAGGAAGTAGAAAACCCAGCCGTTTACAACTTTATCAAAGCCTCTTCATGTTGTTCAAAAGGGACAGTCATTTATTTCCTGGAGTTTTTCCACAATGTGTTGATCTTGGTGATATTTATGGGCTAAATCATGAGATGTCTGTAGATGTTTACATTTGCGAACCCTCGCCAGCGGGAGATGGTGCTCGCTCACTATGTTTTTAGCACAGCTCTGTCCACATAGGTACAAATTTTCCTTGGTGCTCCGTGCAGAAATTTGTCCGTTCAGAGGGGTGTGGACACCCAAAATTAGGTAATTTTGGCGAGCGGACCGCTTTGACCTTGCGGATGCGTCAAGCATAAATCAAGCTTCAACAGCCACGGTGCAGTGCAGGTGCGGTAATAAGGTGCTGAAGTCTTTCCACAACAACGAAGTTTGGCCGGACACAGCAGCAGCCTCTGCATCAAGCTCCTGAACCATAGACACATCATCAGATGAGAGGTGTGCTGACAGAGCGGCCATCTTGGGTCAGACCAAGCTGCTTTCAGAGACAATACCCGTCAATGGAGGCTAACCCTACTTTATAACTTTAGACACTGTAAATTCGCTGAACTCTCAACTGATTTCAAGAAAATTGGCTGACTGAAAGCAAGAACGTTTCACTGGTTACATGTAGGGTGACCAGACGTCCTCTTTTTCCTGGACATGTCCTACTTTTCATACCTTAAAGAATGTCCAGGGGGATTTTCAAGATCTTCCGGGATTTGGTCTACTACAGTGCAGCAGAACCGAACCCTGAGCTCCGCAGTGAAGTTGGTTTGAAGTTGGATATTGGATATTCAAGCTTCGCGGAGTCAGCGGGATCTAGCAAACCGTTGATCCGACTGAGGGACTCCGATGTCGGCCAGCGTCTGTCTGCTGCTCCCTCCTCCCGCATGCAGTGGTGCAGTTAGGGACAGTCAACAAATATCTTTGAACCAAGCACTCTTGAGAAGCAAAAATAAATAAATTCCTTATCTTAAGGTTAAGTGCCTGTGACTGGGTTTATCCACCTGAACTGTCGATCTTTTTAGCTCCTCCAGTTTATTGGCTTCAAAAAAGAGGTGTATCAGAGTAGAGGGAATGAAATACCAATGCATGTCTAAGTAAAAAAACAAGAAAAACATTCTTAAGTTACAATCATATCTCTACTTTGTGTTGGTTTGCCAAATAAAATCCAAATAAAGTCTATTGAGCTTTATGGTTGTAATGCAAAGCATTGTTGATACTTTTGAAAATGCTATAAGTAAATGTCATAAACTTAAATTCAATGTGTAACTGACAGAACACTGGGATCTTTTCTCTTAGAACCATCAGCTGGATGAGTCCGGTGCTTCGAATGCCATCGCTGGAAGCTCACCCACCAGACAGAGCCACTTGCATCCCTCCATCTTAGCCCTTGCCCTGGCCTCCACAACAATACAGCTCAAAGGTTTCTTGTCTCTGTAGGAGCGGAGAGCGGATGGTCAACCTTCTGATCTTAAAAAAGCAGTCCACTTCATTTTAATTTACTCACCGAACTGGAACTTTTTTCTGAAACAGCCACTCGTGGATCAGATTTGTGGATGACTGTCACTGAGATGTCAGCTCATTTGCCTTCCAAAGCCCGGTGGAAGTAATTTGCAAAGACCTTGACTAAAAAAGATGACTCAAGCCTTGCATATTTGACGGAGTGATGTGCCAAACAGGTGAAAACTGCTTCAAGCATGAAGTCATGCCCTCTTTGCTTAAAATGTCGAAGTTAAGGGCAAATGGAAAGCTAAACGTGTGGAAAGAAAATAGACATATAACACATTTCATAGATGCATTGATTGAATTATAATTAAGGTCATTCAAAGTTTCATTTTGTCTGAAAATCTCCTAACGTCAAAGACCCATCTACCAAATAATAGGTTACAACTTCTTCCACGTTTGGCATTAAGTGTAGAGCAGCTCTGTAGATCTGGTCGTCAAGGTCGTTTGTGGCTTTCATCGTGTCACTTTGTACATAGAATATACAGGTGGAAATACTGTTAGCTTGTAAAGAATATTGTCTGTAATATTTTGAGAGTGTAAATTAGAACAGGTGACTGAGGTCCCTCAGCTTTACCCAGCCTTGTTGTTATTTATGAAGTGTGTTGAAATGTGCTTCTTATCTCCTGTGGTTACAGGTTTGACTTCATTGTGTGAATATATTTTGATTGAAAACGCATCATTTGGCTTAAATATTGAAGCATTTTTAAAAGTACTGCAAAGAGTCTACAAAAAAAAGTCTCTTATGGCTAAGAAAGTCAATTGGTTTGTGAGTCTCATCCAGACACCCGAGGACCGGACAGTTCTGTTTTTCTCCATGTAATTATTATTTTTTTTTCTGAATAGCAAGAGAACAAGGGTTTGGATAATAAACAATGTGTAAATACCAGCGACCAGCGTCAATATCAAAAGACAAACGCCATCGGACATTAATTGCCAACAATTAGTGTTGGTCTGAATGGAGGGAAAGATCAAAACACATTCTTAGTTTGTACTTAGGAGCTTGAATTAATACTGCCTTTCAAAGAATGTACAACACAATAAAGGCAAGTTTTTGAACATCTTTAGCGTTTTTAAAAATGCAGTGTGTATGTTGTAATTACTTCAAGAGTGATTTTGTTGACATCAGAACAGTTTATCTATAATAAACCGATCCAAGTTAGAAGTTCAGAATGTTGTATTCGGCATTATAAGGTGCTGTAAAACATTGTATTTTAAATTACCGTTAACTTGTAAACATTTTATCATGTTAAAAGTACAAACTTTTATTCTGACTTACTCTATTGGGAGTTTTTGTGAAAGACCAACAAAAAGGAGTGAAGTTGAAAAAAAATATATATAGTTATCTAACAGCTTCCCTGACTCATTACTTAAAACCAGCTTTGTCCGTAATTAGAGCAGGTAGGTCCAAACTATGCCTTGAACATCTGCAGCTATTTAATGTCGTCCTGCTGGAAGAGGAATCTCCACCTAAACTCAAGTCTCTGCAGCCTTTAAAGTCGTAGGAAAGCGGCTGTTCCAAGTGTTGCATTTCCAAATTCAAATGAGTGGGGGATGACTTTACACGAGTGAATAAAGTGAATGATTGGTCGATTATCAAGAGGGCGGGATTGTTTTGGTGGAAGGTTTGCAAACAAGTTTGGTTGTGGCCGGTTTGTCAGAAACATCTTGCTAACCAGTTAGCAACTTAGTGCTAGTAGGTTCCCAATGGAAAATTACATTAGGACCGAGTAGCACTAAATTGGTGACTTAGAAACAACTCTGTCAAGGAACGCTATTGGACAGAGGAAACATGCAAGAGGAGTTTTGTGTCGGAGGTCATGGATGAGTCTTCTCCATCATACATTTTTTTATTTAGAGGAGGAAAGTGGGGACAAAGTTGTTGTGGAAGAGGACGCCAGGACGGCAGAAGCTTGGTTTGGTGTAGAAGGCTTACAGCCGTATGTTTGAGCCCTTGCCTTGCAGCACTGCCAGTTCTGTTAGCTCTACGCCTCCCGAAGACACAGATGCCCATCCCTGTGAACACTGGGACGTAACTCAGTGGGAAAGGAAAGGATTCCTATTTCTTATTTTTACCGTTACGTATATTAGCTGCAACATATGAATCAAGATGCTATGACCAAAAAAAATTTTATTGATAGATGACCGTTGATAAGATTGGCAGAATTTAGATGTACAAGCTGACATATAACTGGCCTTCATGAGATAACGAAAAAAAAAAACAGATTTCAAGACAGGATTTATTTTGTAAATAGAAATTTTCTATTTAGGACAATATAGTCTAATAAAGAGTACATTTATATAGATGATTAAGCCGGAATTATTTGACATTTAAATATGACTTCTTTGCAACTTTAAGAAGTTTCTTTCAATACATATAGAACATATTCAACTAAATCCTTTTTCACATAAACTCCATGCACCAATGAAACAACATCCCACAGTCTAATGCTGCCACCACTTTGTTTGTCCATTGTTTATTTGTCCCTCAATTCAGTGTATGTTGATGGATTTTTTGTCAAAAAAAACCAAACATGGCTCTATTTACTGATAAGGTCATTTTGATATAAATAAATGCTATTTGGAGGTGTCAGAGTATAAGAGAATGAAAATAAATGAATGTCACCCTTTCAGGTTTTTACTAAAAGATTATACGAATTATAAAATCCATTGCAGATATCAGGAGTTTGTTCTGTAAGACTGTAAGGCAAGACACAGTATGATTAGTTCAAATGATTGCAATCCAAAGATTTTATTTTATTGAATTTTCCTTCAGATAACAATAAATATGTGAATAACAACCCATCCTGGTTTCTAGACTCAGTAATAATATACCCTGGATCATGTCATTCTTCCCCAAAATAGACACTTTATCTCACCTTTCCATATAGAAGGAACTCCTGTAAAGCAGGATTATAGGATAGCACCTGGCAGACACCCTACTATTGTCACTTAGATCATATCAGTCCCCGTGTGGAGTGACAGAGGCAGACAAGGACACAACCTGCAGAGGACAGACTCGTCCCTGGACAGGAGGGGGATGTGTACTGTCACCTGTTTTGGGAACAGTGATGGAAAGCATGATGCGCAAAGAAAGCCAAAGATTTATTGGATGTGTCGCATTAACCAGACCAAAATGTCTCATGTTCTGCATGAGAAGGAAACTTATGTCTGAATGCTTTTTATCCACGCAGACGCATAAAATAGGAGGTAAATGAAATTAAAAAGCAATTGATCCACACAGTAATTGTATTTAGTTGTATTTAGCAAAAACTTAATTTGGTAATTAATAGAAAAAAAGAGAAGAAAGTTTTCTTCAAATGTTGGTTCTATCATAAAATCCCACAAAAAATACTCACATTTGTGATTGTAATATTGGAAAATGTGGAAAAAAAGTTCAGAGGATAGTAATATTTCTGAAGGCGATGTTCATTTAAGTGAAGTGAAGTAGGTTTAAAAGAATCACAATATTATCTCTTTTTTTCTCTGACATGAATGTATATATACATTCATGTCAGAGGGCTTCATTATATATATATATATACATGTATATATATACACATACATGTATGTATATATATATATATATATATATATATATATATATATATATATACACATACATGTATGTTTATATATATATATATATATATATATATATATATATATATATATATATATATATATATATATATATATATATATATATATATATATATATATATATATATATGTATGTATGTATATACGTAGGAGTCCTGACACCTTGTAAATATGACAGAGAATCTGGGAGGAATCTTATAGGTATAGTGGAGGATGTTTTTTTTTCCTGGTGGAATATCGAAATAAGTGGTCCTCCTAATTGTCAATCATTCTGGTGATATGTTTACATAAGGCCGTCCTATGTGTTCGTTCCCATTTTCACTTACTGGTGGTGAGTCTGATTGCAAATCTTTTGGAAAATAAAAGATGCATGAGAGATGCAAAAAGCAACTTTTAAACAGAGCGTGCACGAGGAGAAATGGGCTTGTGCACGCTCTCACACACGTTTAATAGGTGTTCTCTCTTGGGAACGGGTACAGGGTTGTGCATGTGCATTTTTTTTTTAAGTAGAGAGGGTGGGTCTTTTCAAAAAATCATGAAAAACCTGAACCTACTCAGCTGAAAAAAAAAGGGTATAAATACCACTGGAAACATGGGGAAAAAAGAAAATACATTAAAAACCAATATATACTTTTCCACAAGTTATCGAGAAGGAAATTAATACAATTGATCGGACCATTATTTTTAAATAAAATGTAAATAAAACATTTTATATTGATGCTTTTTTTTACATTATCACACTTTTTAAGTGACGTCATTAGTGACGTCACTTTTTAAGTGATGTCTCATTAAATATCACGTTTCATTAAATATCAGGAAGAAACAACTTGAAAGACTGAAAATGATTTATTGCTTGGGATGTGAATCATTTTTGGCTTCATTATGCAATCCCTGGTGATACAATTTTGCTGTTATGAATTTTTGGGAAGTGAACAAGCATTGTCATTTTCTCTGAAAGAAATTGTCTGCATGTTTTTACCACCTACGTTGCAATAACACAGAAAAAAAAAAAACTGGTTAAAAGCTTAACATTTTTATCTTATTAAATAATTTCCTTCAGTTGAAACATCCGATCTGAAGAAGAGATGTAATATTTTCTAACTTCAATTCATTGATACCAAGAGACAAATAGCTGCCATTAAAACCATTGTAAACATTATTGCTCAGGAGATTTATTGTTCCCTTGCCATAAAGCCCTGAACTCGGGCAGATGGGGTTTCGACCCTTCACCACCAATAAAACCAATCCAGGTCTGCAACATCCACGCACTCACCCTCGGCAAGGATTAAAGTGGAGCTTGATAAAAACAACACAATTACAGAAGCTGCACCTAATATCTAATTACTGCAACACTGACCTCTCCTGCACCATTTTCTTCAGCCACGCAGAACTTCTCTGTGGATTTCAACCTTTTCTATTAACCAGGAGAGCAGAAGCAATTTTATTTTATTACTTTTTGGGGGGTTTTATTGTGTCTAAATGTCAGCGTGCCTGACTTTTTGCAGTAAACAACACTCAAGAGTTACTTCAAGATACTTTACCTCATATCTATTTAAAATCCTCCCAGAGACAGAGATAAGAAATAATGGGTTCTTTATTGGGCACCAAAGCAGAGATGGATGGATGAAGAAAACAGCCAGAAGAATCCAGGAATCAGAAAGCACTTGTTTAAAAAAAAACCCTCTTGTATTTTTGGTTGGCAAAGTATAACAGATTGCTATTTTAGGAAATATAGATTCTAGCAACTGAAGATTACTTTGCAAATCGATAAATCTGTGGATTATTTTTTTCGATTAATCGATTAATAATCTGAAAACAAGTGAAACTAAAATGTCTCCACTTCAGGAGTTCTGCATAGAGCATATTGACATACAAAAATGTTTATATATTTCTTTCAATTTTGATATAATCACTGCTTTAAGTGGTTTGATTTGTCAGCCAAAGGCATGTTTTACATTTCCTATATTTAATTTAATGATTAATCGATTACTGAATTTGTTGATTATTTCAATAATCTATTAATCTGTTTATTTCAGCCTGAACAGATTCTTTAATTTGTAATCTGAAAAATAGAAACAAACTCATAATATCGGTTGTACCATGTTCATATGTCCAAATCCAAAAAAACTAACCAGATCAATGCATTTAATAAACATAATTTAAAGTGAATATATCACCTGTACAGATTCAGATCAGTATTTTTTGTAAAAAAAACAAAACAATTTGTGTTTCATGTAGTCGATTCAACCTGTGGATCAACCTGAGATCTAACATTAAGATAGTGTGGCATATCCTTGTTTTATTGCTTCTGTATTTAAATATGCATTAAAAAGAACCCCAGAGCATCCTAAGCATAAAGGCAGTGTCACATGAGACTTCAGCTCCTGACAAATGACACGAAGACATGGCTCCCTTCATTTCATCAGGGATTATTCAGCAACATAAAATACTTTTTAATTAACTCAAACAGTTTTAAATAATCATTTTATATGCCTTCAATATTGTAAACACATAAAGGAAATTTTAAGCCTCTACTTCTCAAACTTCATGGTGATATGCAGGAGTGCTAATGCTAACTTAAAGGAAATATATATACACATGAGAGGCAAAGGTAAAAAAAAAAAAAAAAAAAGACCAAAATACGAAGACTGACATTATTGTGGACCTATTTTCTCCAGGGGTATATAGTGTTGTATTCCATCCCTCCTTTAATTATGAGACGCACTCGCATTCAAGGTTCTTCTGCAGGTACCGGACACTAAAGCAGAGCACTATAAGCAGAGCGGCTGCAGCTAATGGGAACAGAATAAGTGAAGATCTTTTAAAGTAGCACTTTAACCAACAGCCTTTCTCTTCCATACATTCTAGCTCAAATGACACCAGAAAAGATCATCAACAAAATAAGATGTTAACACGAATAAACCTAATATCAGATTGAACTACATTGAATGCTCAGTTTCATAATGAGCATTGAAGACACCATAAAACGGTCAATTAGACATTAAAGCAAGACGATGAAAGATTTAAACTAAAATTATTCTAGTGAGTCTAAGTGCCCAGTTTGAGTCCAATTGATGAGTGATTGCAGGATTTATGTTTAAAACTGAAAACTTCTGTTATTAAAAAAGAAATAGAAGCTTAAAGTTCAATTTGGGACAATAGAGCTTTCAAAAACCTACAATGCAATGATAGAGTTGATGCCTTCCCACTATCATCGCAACCCTTGCCTCCATACAGGGGACCAGAACATCCCACCTGTTCAGCCAGGTCAGGAATTCCCCCTAACAAAACCCCCTTTCAGGGGTATAGACCAGTATCATACCAGTGATGCAGGCTAACAAAGAACCCAGACGACTGCCCATTCCTAAGGGACGGACTCGTTCTGCACGTTCAATTAGCATGTTTACTAAGTCAAAACAAGGCTTTGTTTTTGGTCCACTCTATAAAGCAATGCTAATTCTGAAATTTCGAATTGAAAAAGCTTCTTGGATGGGAAGTGAAACATCTTGAAACTTGGAAACTAAGTCCAGTGGACTTCTTTAACTTTTTTCAAACGAATTGGGACAATTGCTTCTGTCTCCTTGAACCCCAGTCGGCCTCAGCAGATGGCCGCTCACACTGATCCTGGTTCTGCTGGAGGTTTCTTCCTGTTAAAAGGGAGTTTTTTTCCTCTCCACTGTCGCTACAAGCATGCTTAGTGTGAGGGGTTGCATGAGTCAATGAGTTAATACAATCAACTGGTTTTCCTCAGACAACTTTGAATCAATCTGACTGTATGATCTGGTTGAACTGTAAAGTGCCTTGAGATGACGTGTTGTGAATTGGCGCTATATAAATAAACCAAATTGAATTGAATTAACAATAGAGAAAACTATTCCAGAGCTTACTGTAAACTTGTAAGTCCAAAATTCTTTATCGAGCTCCTTTAAAGACATTTAACCTTACTAGACTGGAGTTTTATTTCATTTATATACATTTTTGGCAACCCTTCTTAAGATGTGAAAAATCCTTACATTTATACCACATATACATTATATATATATATATATATATATATATATATATATATATATATATATATATATATACACATACATACCGGTATGTATATATATATATATATATTTTAAACATCCATCTTTGCCACTTGTAGAAAATGTAGAAGTTCATGGGGTCCTGACACTTTTTCTAAGACGGTGTTAAATACTCAAACAGTAAGAGCGTACATACTCATTCCTTCTTTTAAAGTGTAATTACCGGGCATATGGTAATTACTTTGGATCTGCAGACACAGTAAAAACTAAAGGTTAAGTCTTGAAATAGATTCAATGATACGGGGGTTTTAGATGTAGTGAGTTTTAACAGACAATTAGGAAACAGCAGCTTTACCATAATCGACGAAAAAGCAGAAAAAATGCTGAGTTCACAATAGTTTGTTTTGTTTTGATCTTTCTTCTTTTAATTTTCCGGCATGTTGTCCATCTTTCAAATACACTGACGGGTCACTGATATGCAGTCTCTCATCTGTTTCACAGAACAGTGCGAGTCTGATTCCTGCGCAAAGACAGGGTTAAGGGATTACTCTACAAACAAATAAAAAGAACACAAAAAGAAAAACCACGAGCTGACATGGCATCATCATGAAATTCATCATGAACTGTTGCAACACAAAGCAGGACAATGCCCAAACAGTTTGTAAGGATGCACAATTAGAAAAACATGGCTGACATAAGAACAAGTGGTTTAAATCAATGAAAGTGTGCGAGAAAAAAGGAATCTGTTCAACATATTAACAGAAAAGCTCCTCACAAGTGTTGCAAACTGATAATTTATTATAGATATAATATCAGGCGACAAGCCCTGAATAAAACAAAAAGTTCAGTCTCATAAAAACTAACAAAAAAAAAAACAAAACAGCAAATGTAAAATACAAAGATGCACATTTGTTCCAACGAGACACTGTACAGCTTAGAAACTCCTTTAGATCTTCATGTTCCCAAATGTTTAGCCCATGAAGAGCCAAGACATTTTTTTTTTAAAGGTAGCACAAGTCCTTCTAATTATAAAGTGAAATAAACGTATAGCTTTTCCCCCCATATAAAACTTACAAAACAAAACAGTAAACAGCTAGAAGAGCAGGAAGTCGCTGGAGCAGCCTCTTGAAACGTCCACCATTCCAGTCTCAGTTCAAAAGCGTCAAAATGTCCAAGTTGCACTTTGAAAGAGTTCATTACAAACTACAGTAAAGACCAAACGAAAGCTTCAGTGTTTTCTTTTTATCTAAACGCGAAAGAAATACATTTAAAACTGTTTTCCCATGTAAAATGCATCCGAGTTTTAGATTTTCATGCCTGGATTTGATGACATTGGCTAATTTGCACCTCCTTCCAAGTTTTCTCCCAATACGTCGCAATACAGCAGCATTAGTTCATGTATCCCACTAAAAACACAGGAGGAGTCATATGCAAGCAGACAATTAAGCTTAGACATTTCAGAAGATGCTTCAGTTGCCATGGCTTGCAATATAATTATGGGTTGTTAAATTGAGACCTTTTTAAGTCACAATTCTTTAAAGAAAAAAAAAATAGACAATAATAAATGCTTTGGTACCAAAATGTACCACGTTTTTGATTAAATGGGGACATTTTGTCAGCTTGAGACGTTACCAAATGGATGTTCATATTTCCCTCATTCTTTGCAAATAGATGGCATCAGAAAACCTGCATCAGTCACGCTTTTATAAGTCTGTATTTGTCATATTCTGACACAAATATGTAGACACTATCGTCCGAGCGAAAGTTAAGAAACTGAAAATCAAGCCGGTATCTGTTGCTGCAGAAGCATGATTGAAGAAAAGCAGAAAAACCAGGGGGCTGTGATCCTGCAACATGGTGAACTGTAGTGGTGAACGTTAGCAGCCAAAGGAAAACTCCTGTAAGTCACTTTAGCGATTTCAAGTCTGTGGAAAGGATTCCGGCTGCGAAACCAGAGGCGTGCTGAGATGATGTGACCTGTGGTCGTAAAGGTAACCGTCGGGTGGAGTCAGACGCAGGTCCCTTGGTGAGCTGGTGGAAGGGCTTTTCTGTTCTTTAAGGTTTGGGACTTGTCCTTAAAATCTGATGGTTTCTGCTGTGAGATGTCGACCAATGCACTGGCAACAATCAGTCCTGCAGGAAACATGAGCGGAGGAATGAGTGACACATACATGAACCTTTTTTATGCATCTGAGAATAATACAAACAATAACAATTAGTAAATAATGATAAAAAAATAGTTATTTTTAATTACATTTTTTCCTGGGATGCGGTTGTAGATCAGAATTGGCAAAATAACTAAACTAAATAGATGCTCCATCTGATACCAATATTAGCTGGGTTTTTTTTATAGGTATGTAAATCTTGCATTGACTGTAAAATGTTTGCCGTTCTTACTTTGGTTTGTTTACCTTAAATATAAACAACATACTGGGGTACAGGTAGGGCTTTTTTGCGTCATGTAAGACTTCCTGGTAAATTTTCTATGAAGGAAGTACTGTTGTTTATTATAGGAGTATCTCAGGGAATTAGGATATAACGGAATTAATTAGTAATTAACCAAAATAAAGAAAAATGATTTTCTCGGAAAATTCAAACAGCATATATAGCCAGGTTTTCAATACAATATAAATATATTCATATATAATTAAATACAGGGCTTAGCGATTGGTTCCAGGGAATTTTGGGTCTTGAACTTTTTTTCACCGTTTATCCTATTTAAAAAAATATATATAATAATAATAATTATATATATATATATATATTAACAGCTTCTCTACCCATCTGTGTTTATTGGTTTAGTAGACTTTTAAGGTTTGAGATTAAGAGGTTAAAAAACAAAATCAAAATAAAAACGCAATGCTCCATCTGAACAATAATTACTCTTGATTTTTCCAAAAAGAAGTCCGCAGTGTTAAGAGTACGCTGCTACCTTATTTCATCAAATATTAAAGATTCTATGAAAACACCTTAGGACATAACAGTGAGAGATTCCGGGGGGGGGGGGGGGGGGGGTGGTCGGGACATTTGAAGACCGCTGCCGAGCCGAGCCTGACAAGCTGCACTGCGGCATACTGACAAGCAAATTAAACAACTTTTATTCTGACTACTGAACAGTTACTCTGTCAGTATGCTCATCGACTACCTAAAGGATTTGTGCCTTTTCATTGGTAAGCTAACATCAATCAACTTTCATTTTTTAAATCTTCACGAGTGCTTACATTTTTTGTCTTGCAGGAAAAAAGTAGGACATTTTGAACAGTCTTCTAAATGTCCTACTTTAAAAGATTTATTAGAGCCTCATTTAAAAATTAAAATGTAAAGATTAAAACAATGTTGCTTGAGGCTGGAGCTATCACCTGGCAGTGTACCTGGGTTGAGCTCTGTTTATCAAAGTGAAATTTATGCAGTAGGTAAAGGATGTGGACAAAAATACATCATGATGACTAAGAGTGTGCAAAATAATCGTCATGACGATGCATCGCGATTCTAATTTTTGTGATCTACTGCATTGATTCTTGAAGGCAAGAATCGATTATAAAAAAAAAAAAAATGAACAAGTAAAATACATTAATTGTTGGCGCACATCAGCCAAATCAAGTGGAATACAACTTCCAGTCCAGCAGATGTCGCTGCGGATGTGTTGACGCCCGCTGCCTTGTGTCACAAGCATTTCCAGCCGCGGGATACTGCGAAGAGTCATTCGTAAACAAAATATGGACGACACTGAGAAAATTCGCCCCGCTTGGATGCATTTTGGCTTTAAAAACAAAGAAGGTAAAAATTAAATTGATATGATGCACATAATTTGCAAAAGGACCACTTAGGCCATGTAAACGGCACTGATTATCCTTATTTTGTTATTTTAAGTTTGATGAATCCTAACATCTTTTTATCAGTGTGTCCACACCAGTAATAGTAATATTTGTGTCCAGTATTTGTTTTCATGGCAACACCTCCAAAAGTCATTTCAATAAATACAGCTATGTATGAATTCAGTTGCTTTCAGTTATGTATCAATTGAAGAGACTATCCAGATCACACCCAGCCAGTCAGCCACTGGTAATAGCTGTATCTTTTTCTTACAGTGTTCAGTGAAAATATCGCAATGCATCTCAATATTTCAAGTATCGTGATGCATCGTGATAGAATCGCATCGTGGCATGTGAATCATGATTCGAATCGAATCATGACTTCTTTGCCAATACCCACCCCTAATGGTGACAATGATCAAGATCTTTAGGAAATCGTTCTTGATTACGTTTTTTAGAGTTTCTGTAATAACTGCAGACAGAGACAGATGATTGATATATTGTTAGTTCAAGTGGTTACCTGACTGTCCAGGTGGAGGCAAGTAAGAAAGTCCAGACGGGAGACGCATGAGGACCGTCAACACAGCCGCTTTCCCTCCAAAACATGGCTCCATTGCAACTGGTTTAGGTGGCCCCTTCAACATACAGGAGAAAACACAACAATTTTACAAATTTTAGCAAAATTCATTAAGGTATTATTCTTCCAGATCAGGTATTAGTTTAAAAGAAAACTATACCTTGTTCTTAAAAGACAACATCAATAACAGCAATCATGGCTTAAACAGCCTTCTCTGCTCATACGCCATTCCTCAACAGATAAGTTGAAATCAATTCTATTTTCTGCTCTGGTCAGAGATATTTTATTTTTTTATTTTTTAAGGGACCAGCTGACAAAAAGTCACTCATGTCATCTGATGGAGCTGCTGCATTTAAGTCAAGACGCCCTCCTCCTGAGACAAATGGTTTGATTCGTCACACAACAAAAACACTTGTGTCTCTGTCAGACAGTCGGTGCGTCGAGGCGATGACCTACCCCTCAGACGTAATGGCCAGAGCTGCTCGTATCAAGCGTGAAAAACATGTCATCCTGATAATGAATGTCAAGGGTTTCACAGCATGCTTTGGAAGAAAGGACAGAAATTGTGGAGCAATGACATGACTCTGAATAGAAAAGGATTTCTTCGTCTCTGTTTTGTTTAAAGTAGATGTAGCAAAGTCAAAGTGGGAAAAGATACATTTTTTAGTCTCCAAAAGTATCGTAATAATTAAAAACATGAAGAAAAAAAAAGTAAAATCTGACATTAAGGATCCAAAAACTACTCTGGTCCAAAAAAAATCTAGTGATCTTTAGAAGATGCAGACTTGTTCTCTATATATTAATTTTTCTCTCTCTGTGGACCAGGTTCCATGGTGCATGCCATGTTCTTTGCTGTAGCTCTGAAACCTTTTTAGAAATCCAGAGAGAGAGACGCTCACAGATAAAAAATACTTTCACTGACAGAAACTTTCAACAGATCAGGTGTAACTGTTATCTTTGAGGGTGACACAGGGTGACTGATTTTTACACCACCTGCGATGTTAAGTGGTCGATCTGGCAGCAGTTGCTTTATGTGAATTTGGCTTTTCTCTCACCAGGTGCAACTGTGGCCCATTTTCAGTGGTAGGTTTGCCTCTTTTATAGACAATTGTCTATATAACGAAAAAAAAAACAACAACCCCACAATAGCTATGTTTACAAGTAGAAAAATTTGAAGATGCTTTCGGAATAAAAACAAATCCAAAAATAATCTAAATGCACCGCTGTTATGGACATAACTGGAATAAAAATGTGTCATGTACACATGCCTATTAGAATATTCTGATCGCATTTACTGTAGCATTAGAAGTGGAAATACATACATTGATGCAGAGTGCACATACAAACTCAGGTCAGTTTGCCCCATTTAGAATAACATAATCCTAACAAGCATTACATGCAAAACAATAACATTGTCAATCTGCATAAATAATTATGTTATTGAAAAAATAGCCAATATCAACAAGTCATGTTAGAAAATGGGTTGAAATTACAACTATGTTGCTATATTCCAAAAAATATTTAGAAAAGTGATTTAAAAGTTACATTTATGGTCAGATTTTCCGCAAATTAACAATGATTGCAATCATATATCTGTCTATCTACAGATGTACCTCTCCATCAAAATAAACAAAAACATTCATTTAGCCCTTACCCCAAATATATTTTATTATAAATGCAATTTGTAATTATAATGACAGAAGAAGTGTTTATGCATAAATACTCAAAGACTAGGGGGGAGTGAGACAGTTTGTTGCATAGGTAGCCAGCAGGAGCACCTGGTCTTTGTTGTTGATTTTTTTTTTCCATCAGCAGGGAACAGCCAATTATCCTTTAAGCTATCACAGGGTCTTAGTTTTTAGTCTTTCAGTTAATGGGCTATAATGGAGTTTCAAACTCAGATGTCACACATTAGCTCCACTGATGTGATATAAGGTGACATAAGGTCCAATCTCCTTTTGGACAGCTATGTCTGTTTTGGATGAATATGAAAACCCCAAGCACCATAAATAATCACAGGAGAAGCTGATAAAACTAATCTAATTATTACTGTATATCTTAACTTGGGGGATAACGGTTGCAACACCACACTAGGCCCTTTTTAAATGTTATTCAGTTTTCATCTAACCATCCATCCATCTTTTCCTGCTTATTCTGTCAGGGTCGCAGTGGGGCTGGTGCCTATCTCTGGCAGTCTATGGGCGAGAGGCGGGGTAGACCCTGGACAGGTCGCCAGTCTGTCACAGCGAAATACAGAGACAAGCGGAGGCATACAATCATGCACACACACTCACAACGAAGGAAAATTTAGAGAAGCCAATAAACCAAACAGTCATGTATTTAGACTGTGGGAGGAAACTGGAGTACCTGGAGAGAACCCACACATGCACAGGGAGAACATGCAAGCTCCATGCCGAAAGACCCCGGGCCAGGAATCAATCCTGGAACCTTCCTGCTGCACGGCAGCAGTGCTAAAAACTAAGCCAACTTGCAGCCTTTATTTATTTTCCACTTGGATAAAAAAAATAAATATATATATATATTTCTAAAATAGAAAATTAAATTAGTGATTTTAAACACCAATCTACAGTATGCTAATGACTACCGTTATAACTAAGATGGTCAAAATCGATTAACTAAATTTTAACACAGAGATAAAATTAGGCCTCATATCTACAGAGGTGGTTTTCAAAGTCGGCCCTAAAGACCTGCTGTTCTGCATGTTTTAGATGCGTCTCTGCTCCAGCACACCTGCATCAAATGATTTTACTCCCTTCTCAGCAGCCACCGTGGGCTGGAGGGACCCATAATCGCCCATTTATAAAATTGAGGTGTGCAGAGGATAGGAAATACTAAAAAGATGCAGGACAGTGGGTCATGCAGACAGGGTTTGGAAACCACAGGACTAAAGTACTTTATTAATAATCACTCACTGCAGGAATAATAGAAAATGCTGTTGCAAAATCTATTCTGCATTTGGTCATTCATAACTCCAAAGCTCATGAACATGCATGATGAAAACATGCTAATGAATGCAAAAGCATAACCAAACAGTCAGTATGAGCTCTCCTTCCAGCACTGACAGGTCTCATCAATCAAAGCAGCTGTTCATTACTGGCTCCATATGTCGAGTGCCTGCCATTTTGGTCTGTAGTTTGAGGGCCTGAATCTGTCTGTCCAGCAGCTGCTGATGTCTTGGTCAACATTGTGGAGCCCATTAAGAAAATACAAAAAAAGGTGTAAAGGCTGCTAGCATTTTTGCACTAAGCGGTTTCTGCAAAGCTGTGTCATAGAAATGCTAATGATAAAGCAGGATTCTCCAATCTGGGCACCAGGAAAATACAGATAACGTTTCTTTTTTTAAGGCCGACACTTTTAAATTGACCAACAGATTCCCAAAATATGATAATAATTATTGGGGGGCGGATTACTGAAGTCTATATTTCTTTTTCCTTCTCCATTTACATGATAAAAAAAACATAATACCAAATGTTATGTAAAAATCCCAGTTTAATAATAAAAAAATTTATTAGCAAACAGCACATTAGCGATGGATAGAAAATGGAGGAAGTGTCAGTGCATTTGCTTCACACGAACTGAAGGCACCAATTAATCTGCAAATGCATGCATGTATTGCTCAATACGTTAATATAACCAAAAAGTATCCTTTGTCCTGCATGTTTTTTAAGGTTTTTCCTGTCTCCAAGTGCCTGGCTTGAGTAAACGGCTGATGAACATGCCTCTGTAGCTCTTGATGACTGCAGGTCATTTGATTCAGTGTTAAAGCAGAGGCGCATTTAAAGCACATGGGCAGTGAACCCAGAGGACCAGAGTTGAAGATCACAGACGTATGGAAATTAGTCCTAATGGTTCAGTCCAAAGTACAGGATCTAAATCTTTTTTAGGATTCTAGAAGTTTGCTGCTGAAGGTAGCTGCACATTGGGGTAGCTCTGCTATTATGACTCCGATATTCTCTTTCAAAAGAACTCAAGTTCCTCTGTTAGTGGATCAAAATTAATTTATTTTTTAAATGTTTTTGGACATTTGTTTTGGTCACGATAGCAACTTGTTATTCTTTTTTATTGAGGAGCAGCTCATTCAAATCTCAAAAGCTAAAAAAAAATACTTATAACTACTTCTACAAGTCTAAACCGGGTTGGAAATGTGGCACAGGGGGTGCAGGGCATGAACAAGGAGAATAGAAAAGGAAGAAATTCAGCCCATATCTTCCATTAATTATTATGTGGAATTTGAGATCTTTAGTAAAACAGGTTAAAAGAACTCGATGCCATAGCAAGGACCCAGACAGAACATCTGGAATGCAGTATTGCGTGTTTTACTGGTTGCAAGATCATATCCCCAACTCCAGTATCTCTCTGCAATCTGACATACAAGCAGACAGAGATTTAAAGCTATAGTGTGTCATTTTTAGTGACATCTAATTTTGACCGCAACATGAGCCGCTCCCATGACTGCTTCTCCCCCTCCAACAATACACAATGGCTTCAGCAACATCTGCATCACCTATCTTGTTAAGTGAGGATGTCTATTTACAGAGATATTTTATAAATTGTATTTTATTACTTCCTTTAGGATATAGATTTTATGAAGGCCCAAGACAGAGAATGTACTTATTTGTTCCACATCATTGTCATGTTTTAGTGAGCTGCTTAGCATAGACATATAAACAGACAAAGTAACTGTAGTCGTTTAGTTTATTAACAAGAATGTGTTGGTTGGAAGCATATATATTCCTTGTTTACAGAGCCCAAGTCTTGACTGTGGCATGGAGGTCATCAGATGAGGAAGAAAGATGAAAAAAGAGAGGAAGGGAGGAAAGAGACCGCATGGGCGTCCAGCCAGGGACAGGGGAGAGGTGCTAGAGGGATGACTGGAGCCGAGGAGGCAAAATTTGAAGCTCTCCAATGGAGCCAGAAAGAAGTAACCAAATAATGTATCCTGAAAATTACTTGGTTCACTGGAGCAACCAAATGAACGCCTATAAGGAGCCCCTACAGTTTTCTTATTGCGGTGGAGCTTAAGATGCCATCATACAC